ATCAAGTTTCCTTGGAATTTTCAATCATTCTATGTAGTTGTGAAGACAATAAAATCCTTTATACTGCATTTATTACAAATGATGACAAAATTTAGATACATTCTACACCTAGTACTAACCATTACCATTCCAGGAGAGGATACAGCAAAGTGAATCTGCACAGAAGATAGATACAAAATATGAGGGTGAGAGCATACAGGAAAAGAAAGGCACTACACAGCATCTAGCAACTATTCTGTCCATCTCTATTAAGTTCCTGCTCCCTAAATTTCCCTGTGGAAAAGCTTACTTCACTATCAACCAGCTACTCCAGGACTACAACTTGCTTATAATAATTAGACAGGAAGGTAAATTCTTTTCTTCCTACAGCAGGAATTCACAAGGTTCACAAATGTAGACCCTTCCCTATCAATTGTATAATGATGAGTGTTGAAATAACACCAAGACCATCAGCCAGATTCACACCAGCGCCATCTTCTTTTCAGAAGAAGAAACAGCATAATCTAGAGGTATACTATAATTTAATAAATAATTTTTAAAAAATATTTATAAACACACTAGGAAAAAACACACCAAAAAACCCAAACAAACAAACAAACAAAAAACCAACCCAACACTACTTATGTCTAGTACCTTAGAGCACCCTGACTTTTCCAATGTAGTGACAAACAAGATGCCTTCATAGAATGTCATGGCATATTCAGAAACATGTAGTATCAGAGTGATTCTTCCCTTCTCAAAGTGAGTGACAGCACTTAGAAAGACCCACCTAAAATGTCTTTCCTTAGTCTCACAGGCTCTAAGGAACACAGTTGTCCACGATAACATTTTCTTCCAACAATCCTTTCAGGGAGCAGTTGATAAAGGCCACATGAGAACACAGCATTATCTCAGTCTACACTGGAAGTCATCTCTGGTGGTAGCAGAGATGGAGAATGGTTATTAGAAGATGGTGTCACTGTTTCTTCAGATGTTGTCCCAGCATGGCTACTGCTCATTCACAACAAAATTGGAAAGTATCATGCTTTGGAGGCATGATTTCTATGAAGAATATCAGATCATGATAAACTAAGGAGTTTGAGATTACAAATTCAGCTCTTGTTATGCATGAGTACTGACATATGTGACCTTCCACCATTGTCACAGAAACAGAACAAACACATCATTGTCTTTATTAGAACCCTGAAAGCCCCACTGTCAGTGATTTTAATCAGACTTGGCAAAAGCTATTTTAATACTTGGGCAGTGAGGAAGGTAGAGAGCCAAAATCTCAGCCACAAGAATATTACCTTTCAGACAAGGATAATCTTATTGCTACAAAATAAAGTTATCAGCTCTCAAATGAAGCTAGTTCAGGCAACAGTACAATAACAATTAAACTTGCAAATCAGAACTCCTAATAGTTGCAGCATATGTTTGACTGAAAAAGTAAGCAAAGCACAGACCAGAAAGATAAAGTAAGGTTTAGCAAGACCAGCAGTACGTCTGGAATAGAAGTTTCTAACAAGAAACTCTTATTCTTTTAATTGTGTACAGAAATTTAAAATTTAAAAGGCAGGTTAGTCTCTGAAACTTAGAAATACATCACAGTATGGGCCTTCTACTACACTATTACATCTCAAGTTTCTTCCCTAAGACCAAGCTTGCAGCAGCAAGTTAGTGTTGCCAAAATATGAGATTTCTGCATGAACAATTTGTGATGTTAAAATGCTATGGATTTCAGTCTCTTACCTCTTTTAATTTCTGTCTGGAATGGACTCTGTTAGAGAAGAAATGAAAGGAGGGGTTTTACATTTTTCATATTTTCCTCAGGCTACCAGCAGAAAAATTCAGGACTTTTTCTAAGGTATGTCAGTGCCAATGATGTGTCACATGTCACTACTTTATAATTAGGCTGATAGACAAAAAGAATAATGCAGCTGACATTCTATTAAAATAAAAATTATTCCCCAAGGCATAAAAACACTGACACAAGCATCTTAAAAGGCAGAGTAAAAATTATACAGGGAACTATTTATCTGTGCTGCTGTCTTTTCCAGATTCAAGTAAGTAATTCTTAGTTATGTGTATATTGAATATTGAATTATCCTATGCTGGTTTTTTTTAAAAATTCTTTTTTGAAAGCAAAATGTAATGAGACCCTTTCTAGCTAGGAATAAAAGCTGCTATGAGAATAAGAGAGTATCTACACTCTGTATTACTTGAGATTACAATTTGATTATCAATTGTTTAAATTTTCAATTTCAAAATGTTTCTATTTTTCAAATAAGCAACTAATCAAAAACCAAATATATTAAAAAAAAAAAAAAAAGCCAGCCCTTTTCTGCCAAGCGTTTGAAACAATTAAGCCTTAAAAACCAAATTTGAAAACACTAGGACTTCATTCTGTATAGAACTTTTTCTAAAATGCTCCTGACAGAATCAGGATTTAGGCAATACAAGGCTGTAACTCTGAACATGTAGTTCAGAACATACTTAGTTCAGATTGTGTCTGGAAGTTTGACAAACTAGCAGAATTACTAGATTACAAAACTGTGGTTTATAGCCAAAATAACAGCCTTCACAGCACAGCCAAATTTTTATTCTTCATCAATGTAAGTAAGAGATGTCTCATCTATTCTTTGCAGGTGATGTGTGCTTTTCCATCTGCTGATTATAAACTACTGTAAGAAAGCATTTCCACCTTTGTCCATCTCAGCAACATTATTCAAAAGGTAAGACTTCAAATTCAGTTCAACTGAACCCAGCCAGTAGCATTTTTTTCCCCAAAAAACTGTTAATACTTTTCCAGTTGGCCAAAAGAGTCCTTCACGAAGCTGTCAGACCTAGTTCTTTGCTCATACAGTGCTTTCATTCCCAACACAATGACAGACAGAGAGAGAAGTATTGTGTTTTCAAATGTATTACAAGGAATCCTGTGATTCAGTTGCTCCTATTAAAGAATTATACTCAGAGAAGATATACTCTAAAGTGAAATGATTTCCACTTGACTATCTTCCTCTTATATTCCAGACCCAGAATTTGAACATGTTTGTTTACCCCAATATCCTATTTCAAGAAAAGGCAGATGACTTCTTGAAAAGTTATATATTATTTTGTTGCCTGTTCCTTGAGTACTGCCAAAGGAAGGGCTACTTAGTTTTCTCTCTGTACTCTAACACAGTGTGCATAATCTGAAATTATCTTTAATTTACTATGCTACAAAAATAAGTAGAAGAAAAAAAAATAGGGCAGGTAATGTTGTAGAAGGTCAGTATTTTTCAAAATTTAATACTCAGAACACCACTTGTTTAGTGACAGCAAGGGAAGGACCACTGCTGCATTAAAGGACACAAATTCATATTATCCCTTTACAGATGTATTGCAGAGAACAAAAGAGGTGTTTGGCGTCTTGATTTGCTGAGCATACATCTGAGTGGTGTGTCCTGTTCCCTCTCCTCATTTTCAAATCTCCCATGCAGCACCACGACTCTCGTAACTTCCCTCAGCTGCTCCATTCAACCTGGATGCTGCTCAGAGGTGATGCTACCCGGAGGCAATGATAAATTTTGGCATGAGGTCATACTAAATACCATGTCACCAATTTTACCACAAATTTTACCGAACACACCAAAAGAAGAGAGAAACAGGTTCTCCGTATTGTCCCTCTGTGTACTAAATAACCTGAGAAAAGACCTTTTTGCCAGCATTGAAGTAAATGGCAAATGTGGAAAGATTCTGTTTAGAAAGTCCAAAAGCCTACAACAAACACTCTAAGATTTGGTATACTGCTTTTCATATATGCAGCATATTTTCATGTATGAAATCGCCTTTTGAAACACACTTGTGGTGTTAATGGCAAGGTAATCTAGTATTTTTCTAGATGTACATTTGTAGAAGGATAACTGCAGTTAGGTTCCTAAATTCATTCACTTATGTAAAAGAAACCTAATTTCATAAAATAGCAAATACAACAAACTAAGTGAAATCAGCAACATATCTGAAAACAGGAAGAGAAAAAAGCATGTATCAAACTTCAATTTGAGACTAATTTTTAATTTCTGGGAAAAGCACACTTACCACAGCTACAGTTTATACTTCAGTTCACCTCAAAGACTAAACTGAGCATATATCAGATGCTTTCTATTACAGTTAACTTGTAAGGCGAAAAGTCAATGCCTCTAACAAAGTAAAGTATTGATTTTTTTCTCCACCTGATAAAAGCAACCACAAACAAGAAGCACTGTGTTCTAAGAATAAACAAGCAGTTGTATAATTACTTATTTCAGTTTGCAACAGCAAAATTATTTTTTCTCCATTATTATTAGAATTTATGCTGTTACTATTTTTTCATAAATGCAATTCAGGCTTTTTTAAAAAAGCATATAAGGGCATCTCAAAATCTCCAAGCATTTACTCTCACTTAAATTAAAGCATAATCACTAAATAAGCCTCACTATTAAAGTTCAATACCTGAAAATTTTGTGTATTGATGTTGTTAGAATAACTACACTAGAAGTCTTCACAGACAAAAATTTTAAACTGTATTTTTTTGGGGGGGGGGGTTTGACTTTTTGTGACAACTGCAGATAAGTGAGATCTTTAATAAGTTTTTCCCCTCATATGAAATAATTTAATGGTTCCAACTTCTCTGCACTATACAGAAATACTGTATTGTACAGTTGATGTCTAGCTTTAATACATATGAATTCATTTTATGAATAAACTTTAAAAGTGAACACTTGACCTCAAAACATGGTCCAGTCTCTGGCACATCACCACCATCACAGATTATATGTATCAATGCAGAAAGTGACTGAAATACATCAAATATCTCAAAGTGAAAAGCAGCTGCTTCTGAACAAGATGCAAAGTTGACATGTGCAGATTTTACCATTTCAAACAACAGATACATTCAAGAAATTGAGAGAGAAACAGCAAAAATAATGGCAAAAAAACTTGCTAGGCAAAGGAGTCCAGGACTTCACCTCCCACAGCTTCTGAAAAATACAAAGGCTTACCTTTCTGTACACCAGCATGTTTGGGGATTCATCAGCCACCCCATTGCTGCTTTGCCCATAATTATTTCCTTGTGCCATGTCCCACAAAATTGATCCGCTTTTGGATGTTGCACTGTAAAAGGTAAAAGTGGTTTCAATAGGGCATCGCCTCAGCTCTCCTTGGTTCCCTGATGATTAATGAACCTGACTTTCTACCAACATGTTATCAAGATCAGTGTATGCTCTTACTCCAACAGATATTTACACTGAAGCCAAGCTGCTAATTCACCGTTTACTGTCATTACTCTCTTTTGCCGGTAAATAATGGATGTGACGTGTTGATCTAATTTAAACATTAATGAATTGTCACTCGGAGCAGCTCCCTGACACACCACTAACCAACACATCACACAGACACCTCCTCGCAAAGCACTTCTTCCTCCCCTGCACGGGCTTCACCAAGGGACGCTCTGCACCTTCCAGGCCAGTTTTGGGAGCACTGACTGACTGACGTGAATTCAGCAATGCCCTCCACTCACAGCTCGGGTCGTAGCAACTTTCACAACATTCAAATGCACAAAAAGCAAGCTAGATGCTTTGAACCTCCCTGTAATTCAACAGCACATCTGCGCTCGTACATACACCGGGGCAGGAGAGCAGATGACGAGGGAAAATGAAGAAACAAGCCAGAACACTGTTCCGGTTGCTTTCACCTACTTTCATCGCACTTTACCGCCAAACACCGGCTCCCTGCCAGCCCCGTCTCCTCCCCGCCCTCCCCCGGGTCACACGGGAGCTGCACTAAGCAAGAGCTCGGATCATGCCGTAGCTCCGGCTTTGCACGCAGGTGTAAGAATGCGCTCCATCTACAGACCACACCGGCGGATGCGGAGAGCCCGGAAAGCCGCCGAGCCCTACTCCAAGCACTAACCTCCCGAGCCCTCCCCACCCCCGAGACCCCTCGTTTCGGGTTTGGCTGCCCCCCGTCCGCCCGCGCTGCCCCCGCACCGCCCGCCGGGGCTGCGCGGCTCCGGTGCCAAAGGCCGGGCGGAGCGGCTCTCCCGCGGGCAGCCCGGCGCGGACCCCGCAGCTCCAGCACCGCGGACAGCGGCGGCGCCGACCGGGGGCCCGGCGGGAGCGGGCCCTCGGCCCCGGCGCGGGAGGCGCGGGGCGGGGGCGCGGAGGGCTGCGGAGCCCGCCCGCTCGGTTACCTCCTGGGCCAAGGTCACTGCGCGCTGGCCGCGGCTCCTCGCCTGCTCCTGCTGCTCCTGGCGCGCCCCGCGCGGTGGGTGTCAGCCGGCAGCGGGCGGAGGGACGCGGCGATCGCTCATCACACACACGCAATACACACACGCACTGCGGGCGGAGGCGCTGCTGCCGCTGCCGCCGCCGAGGCTGCGGCTCTCCCGTGCTCTGCCGGAGCGGCGGCTCAGCTCAGCTCCCTCCCCGCAATGGAGCGGCCGTCACGTGGGGGACGGGCACGTCAAAGGTGCTACCGCTGCCGCCGCTCCGCCACACAGCAGCAGCCTTCCTCCTCCTCCTCCTCCTCCTTCTCCTTCCTTCCTTCTCCTCCTCTTCCTCGGCGCTCTCGGCTCCCTCACCGAAAACAGCGGCCAAGAAACTGCAGCTGCCAGCAGATCTGGCAGCAGCCCCCGTAAATGAGATTAAGGCATCACTGGAGGGCTGGGCAGGAAGAGAATGTGGGCTAATGGGATAGGGAGGGAAAGGGGGAGTTGTTGGGGAAACTGTGTCGCCTCCTTCATAATTCTTTAACGACAGCAACAGAGAATCTGCCTCTTCCTCTGTCTTATGCTGGACACCTCATGTATTTTCTTCAGTGAAAACTAAGGAGAGCCTGTGCTCTGTTGGCACTGCGGACTTTTCTGAGCAGTGGAACGGAGAGAACAGAGAGTGAATCTGTTTCAGGCAGACAGGAGGAAACCCTGAGGACACCTCAAGACACCCTCGGGACTGTTTTGCTGTGTCCCAGGCAACTGCCTAATTTGTGAAGGCCTCGCAATGGCTACAATAAAAGAAAAAGATCAGATCTGTCAGTCTCACTTCCCCATCTCATGCAAACAAGAATACTTTTGCAATACCACTTTTGCAAGGGGGTTGAAATGCCCAGAACTCAACATCCACAAGAACAAGGGATATTTAAGTGGTTAAGCTTTGGTATATTTCCATTTAAAAACGTCTTTTCTGGCAACAGTAGCTCTTATTACAAGAGTGATCTCGCAAAAGAATCCTCTACTGCGCACTGCACCTTGTGGAGTGTGTGCTGGTAAATCATGCAATTCAAGCAGAGAGGTTTCCATGCATACTGGGTCACCTTCACCCTTACTCGTTCTACCTTTCTCACATCTCAGAGAGCCTCAAACCAACATGATCCTGCAACAAGGTTGTTATTATCATCTACTGCAACTACTTTTAACTACTCTTCCAAACTTTACAGATGTCTTGAGATACTTTAACTTGAGACACTTCAACTCTGACTTTAACAGAGGATGTGGTAAATTAGCTCAGGAAATCACAGTGGCCACAGCAAAATGAAGGAAAAAGGACAGAACTGATCTGGACTTCTTGGAGAGCTGAGGAAAGGAAGATGTAAGTTGGATAATGGTCCTAGAATGAACACCAGAGTAAAGACAGACGTTCTTCATCAAAAATAGGAACATTTTTTGGAGACAGAAGTTGTAAAAGGTGAAACGACACAGTAAAGACCATCAACTCTATTCAGTGAGATATACTGGCAGAAAAGGAGCTCTGTAGCACACAGACATTGTGTGTCTCAACTTTGATAGAGGAGAATAATTTAGCATGTCACAAGGATAAAGACTGTGAAAACAAATGGTGTAGAAAAGAGAGGACCCTAGAGTTTTGAGGTGGAAGAGAACAAGGGAAAGAATTCAACAGCACAAGCATAATGTGAAGAAGTATCAGTGTTGAAAGTAGTTGGCAGAGGAATTTATTAAATCAAAGATTAAACAAAGAACTAAGATCTGTTTCTCACTAAAATTCACTTGACATACAATAGTATCTCGGTGAGGCTAATGAAGTCAGAATCAAAATATTAATCTTCCAACAGATTCTCTGATTCAGCCCAGTCTACTGATGAGAAATGGGAACCAGCAATAAAGAACTCAGTCTATAATTTCCTTAGCTTCCACAAAGACATCTCAGATGAGAAGCACTGCAGTGTTCAGAGCTCAGTGATTTGACTTTGTTAAGTCTGACAGGTGCACTAGAAGACAAGGGAAATGTCTCCCAACGTCTGCTAAGAACACAAGTGACCCCCTTTTGGTTGTATGGCATCAAAATAAACTCAAAATCTTATTTATCAGACTGGTGTTTAAATTGCTTTTTCAGAGTAAAAATGGGAACTGCACAAAATATAATTTGAATATAATTTTACCCTTAAAGAGGGATAGGAGGAAAATCCTTAAAAATATTGGTAAGATATATATTCTTTCCACTTGTTCTGCCAATCATTTAACATAGTCATTGTATTAAAGGACATAAAAATCAAACATTAGCAAGTTTCCAATGAGATCAAGTATTTGCTTTCTTACCCTGCCTCATTTTGTTGTAAGGGACAAAAAAACCCCACATGAAACTGTTTTGTACTACAATTGGACTATCTACATGAAGTTACTTAAAAGCTGATTTCAAACTACCTACTTTCTATAAGGTATTCTGAAAACAGATTTTGGTAGCAGTTATGTGTCTTTGGAAAGCTCCCCAACAAAGCTGACTAATTTAGGCAGCAACATTTTCCAAGCTTTTATTTTCTGAGAATGTCCTTAAAATTAAAAGCAGAAGAATCCCCAACTGAGTTAGATTTTGTCTATGCAGCCTCCAATCTTGCCTTTGCTTTGACTTTAATTATTCTGATTATTTTACAAGTAAAGTAAAATATAGTATCCTATGCTAATAGGCAAGGTTTATATATTTTTCTTCAAAAATAATCAAATGTTAATAACAAATGCAGTTCTAAATTCTAAATTGCAGAGCAATTACTTGAGCACACAGAAGTTAATAGACATTTCTCCAATAACACCAAAAGGAACTGTATTCCACATAATTTTTAAATCTTGTCCTCAGAGCCAGAGGAATACCTTAAATAGCTCAATGATGTATGTCACAACTACAGACCTGCTACACTGAGGCACATCAAAATTTTTTCACCAGCATGTCCACTGTCTAAATGAAGTAGAATTCTAAACCCTAATGGGGTTAGACAGAAGAGAAGACCAGAAACAACCCAACAGAATTTCCTTTTTGCCATCACTTTGTGATAAGACACCCTTGGCTGCACTACTTCCATAAATGCAAATAAAAAGAAAATAATTTATTTCAAAAAATATGTAACAGGATAGTCTCATTTTATGGTACTTGTTGTGTTTGCTCAATAGCCTATAAAAGACTTTAATTTATAAATTACTTACATCTTTCCCATGTTGAAAGTCATCACTTATCTCATATACAACCAGCATTAGCCTCCCCAGAAAAAACATGGTCTGCCAGAAGAGGAATGGCCTTTTCAAAATGCAAGGCAAAACTACTCATTAATAAAACAAAGATGATGGGGAAAGGCTGCCAAGGGGCAGCTTTATCTAACAAGGCAATAAAGTACACATGGTTGAGCAAGGTGGTGACTACATTTCTGTGTTTAGCTTTCCCTGTCAGTACAACTCAAGTATTTCAATAACATCACATGCACGTGGCATTTTTAAGTAAAAATATTATGTCAGGATGTGTGCAACAATCTATCTGGATATTATGAGAAATTTTGCTGGCCAATGCTGTAGCATTATGTCAGTATGCCACCTATATCCATCAATTTATCTTGTCTTATGCCTGGACTAAATGTTCCTTGGAGTGAAGACATGTTGTGCAAGCTCTTAGCACAGCATGATCTTGTTCTATGACCAAGTTTTTTAAAGCTTTAGAGCATTATAAACAACCACGTTCAATTTTGCTAAAATAATGTAAACATTCTAACTGGGCTCTAAATACTGACATGAGTTAATGCTGTGCTACCCTAAAGTATAAGGCCCAGATTCTTTTCCACTTACTGTTTAAGCACAATCTGCCTACTTTAACTGAATTCATATATTTATGACCCTACCAAATCACAAGTGTTTCACTGCCAGGCTCTGAACAGGTACCTAGTTATTCTGGGCCCAGTCTTTGGCCTTTTTCATGAGATCTGAACACCTGCTCCTTCAGGAGTTAATTGCAATCAATCTGTTTAATACAGGTCTCCAAATGTCATCATGATGATTACAGGTTACAGTATATATTTTCTAGAACTGAACCCGGGACTGACTTAGAAACTTCACCACTTTGTTCATGGCACTTTTTTATGCTCTAGGAATTTGGCTTGTCACTCACCTTACAACCCTATTGAAACATTAATTACCTTTGTCAATTTATGATGCTGATAATCAAAGCTATTTGTATTCTGTCAAATATATGGGAAGGAGTTAAAAAACAACAAAAGATATTTTGAGAACATAAAAGAAGAAGGTAACTAAAAAGAAATCTGGATTTGAAAAAAAGAATTCTGATCCGATAGGAAAAAAATTAGTCATGGAAAGATATAATTTCACAGGAATTAAAAATCATTAGAAATAAGGAAAGCCCATATTTCCATATTTTTTAAGTATTAGATAGATAGACAGACAGACAGACAGACATCCCCACAGAGAACACAGTAGAATTTGAATAGATTTGAAACCTTAATGCAACAAATTTTATCCTTTACTGTTATTGCAACAGAAAATCCATAGCTACATAGAATTTTATATCAATATAGTGGCCCATCAAAGCTATCCATGGAAATTCAACAGGTTCTCCAGACAAAGCAGAACAACTTCAAGCAGTTCCACGGCAGTCCGGACAATTTATCCAGTTCTAACTTTACCCAGAAGAGGGCAGGCTTTCTCAGGCAAAGAGAGAGAGGCTCCGATAGCTGACACACTACTAGGATTTCTTTTTTCTACCTAAAAGAGTTACCACAACTGGCTGGCTATACGTTATTACGTATTACCATAATTTCATCAAAAAGTGAGAGTGTTTATAGAAATGAAACCTCACACCCCGTTTCTTCAAAACTGCCTGAAAGACACGTGATTAATAAGCCCTGATCTTACAATAAGTTACAAGCTGGAGAAATCAATCAAGCATGAAGGGATAGAACAAATCTGCGGGAAAAAAAAAATAATAAAAAAAGGAGTTTTAGTCAAATTTGGATCTCATCGTAATAACAGCCTTGACTCAAGCATGGTTCTTAATCCTAGTTTCCCAACTTCAAAATAGCTCTTGGGGATGTTTTCCATTTTGTGTAAAAAA